GTAAGTCCCGCCCCTCCGCCCTGTGCTCAGCGCAGACACGCCCCCACACATATTGACCAATCAAATGCGGCTTGAGAGAGAGACACGCCCCCACACATATTGACCAATCAAATGCAGCTTGAGAGAGAGAGAAACAAAGCGGCTCCCGTCGTTCGCGTCAAAGAGTCGCTCTCAGAGCCGGTTCGTTGGCGACCGACAGGTCGCTAGTATTTCTAGTACCGGTACACCGAGCAACACTCTTGTGGAATATTTCATTGTAACTAGTTCGGGAGAAGAGAATCATTTATTTCTATTGTTATCTAATAAAAACAAAGTCTTGATGGATGATCAAAGTTGTAAAAGTCAATTGATTTCTTGCTAGCAGGAGGTCAAATACACGCGCACGTATTACAGAGCTCTGTGGAGACGCGTCTCCGAGCAGCGCTGAGCTTTTATACACACACATGAAGGTCGTCTCCAGTGGCCAGTATGACAAATTGCGAAGTGAGATATGAAGGTTGAGATGAAGTAACAGACAGTTCCTTTGTTCCAGCGTTTGTGTGAGAGCAAGTTGACTCGCCCTCCTTTCTTTAGACTCCGCTGCAAATGGAAACGTTGGGTCATTCTGCTTTTCACACGTCAAGCTTCAATATAGACAATCTTATGCTAAAAGTGATCATTGTGTTCTAACATATTTGACCATGACACATGTCATGTGATACTGGACTGTTTTACTGACTTCTGGACTCTGAAGGAGATGAAGAGGAGAAACAGCACAGCTCCATCTGCTGGAAGATGAGTGCTAATGTTCATCTTTTAAATCATTACATGTCATTTAGCTGACGCTTTTATCCAAAGCCACTTACAATAAGAGCGTTTCAACCATAAGGACACAAACCCAGAAGAACAAGAAACAACAAAGTGCAATTTCATCAAATAAGCCACTTTACAACTTGCTGTAGATAAGAACCATTATAAGTCCAATGTAAGTGCTACAGGTAGTTAGTGTGTTAGTGGAGGTAGAGTCTGAAGAGGTGTGTCTTTAGTCTGATGATGTGAAGGCTCTCTGTGGTCCTGATGTCTTCAGAGACCTCCTTCCACCATTTAGGAGCAGGACAGCAAAGAGTGGTGATCTAGTCGCTTGTAGCCTATTGCATCAGGTGTGTATTTGGTACAATTGTGTGCATTCTGACCTCATGATCATAAAGGCCCACATGAGTGAGATTGTAGGTTGTTTTGCATGTTCATGTTTCTGCTGTCGGCTGCAGCTTCATCCCTGACAACATCTCACTCCAAGGTTTAGTGAAAAAGTGTCATCTCTGTAGCTCACAGTAACATTACAAAGAAGCCATCGCGAGAGCCCTTAATACTAGCATCAATGTACGAGCGTGCTATAACAAGCTTATTAACATTGCTAACGAGGTGTCTTGCTAGCGGCTAAACGTAGCGATATATGATACACATCTCTTGTTGTCATTCTGCATGCTGAGTTTTAGTGGCCTATATAGTGATTTAACATAAATAACGTCCTGATAGACCGCTGCCTCCTGCCAAAGGAAAGCGCTTAAAAGAAACACGACATTTATAGGATGAGAATTTAAAATGACGTCTCTTGACACGTTGTCTCAAGACAACAACACACAGACACAAAAATAGAGGTACGAGAGAAGAACAGTTTTGTACTTATGGGTACACTTTTGAAGAATGTTCCCTCAATAATACAGTATTGGTCTTTAAGAGGTCATAAGTGTACCTTTTGACTAACAGAAAGGGTACAAAGTGACTTAAAGCAAAAGAAAGAACAAATTTGTACCATTTGAAGGGGTACATGCAGTATTCGAAGTAATTGTAGTACTATAGGCCTATTAGTAGTTATAGTAGAGGTATTTAGAACTATTATTATTATTGTTATATTGTTGTTGTTAGCCTTTTATTATTGGCAACATTTAGTTTTAGCTCAATGTGAAGCATGAGACTATTTTCTTACAAATCTGTTGAATTTTCAGCTCAGTTTTGGATTTACAGCCTGATTTGAACGTGGTGTTCTTGTTTTGAGCTCTGTCAGTTTGGAAAAGCCTCCCTCACACAAGTTTGTGGAGGCAAAAGGAAGGAGAAGTTTTAAGGCCGTATCCGGATATTCCCTCATCAGTGCCACCCAGAAGATCACAAGAGAACAAGTGGCAAAAAGATGCTTCAACCTGCCATCCCTGTTCAGCTCAATAAATTGTCCCTGCATTTCTGAAGACAGACAAATAATTTCCTGTGCAGATAAATGGGTCTAATTACCCACCTGAACTAGTCTTCTAAAATCACTGTAAATCAGTGAGCTGAGGTTGGTGAGCTTTTATTAAACGGTTACTAAATTGGTGGCTGTAGACAACCCAGTAACATAAAACGTGATTATTTACTGAAAACAAATCCTAATTCTTCTGCCAAAATATAGTTCCCCAAGGTAGCACACTGGTTGTCAAGCAACAGCGGCGCACTAATACCAGAGACGTCAAACTAGTGCCGCGCAGGACAGACAGGAGTCAGTTCACAAAAAAAAGAAAAGTGTGCGTTCACGATTCAACTGTTCATTCAGTAGCTATGCCACTCAGGGGGCTGTCCACGGAGGAACTTTTACAAAAGTTGGTGGTGGAAGGAGGAATCCAAATTTCAGAAGAGGAGGCTCAGAAATTTAGAGGTAAGTGAAGTTTGAACTTCATAACTATCAAAGACGAAAATGTTTCTAGCTAACATCAAATCATTGGTATCAGTAGCTAGCTAGCTAGCTAAGCTGGTTCTGATATTACAGTCACTAACGTTAATTCACTTAACGCTACTGTAGCTAAGCTAGACAATACTGTATCTTGAACTGCCAAATACCTAGGTAGTAAGTAAAGTTATTGAAAATATTAGCTAGTTTGCTCAAATAGTTAAGTCGGCTAACGTTATTAGCCATGCTAATGTCAAGCTAGCAAAGGTACACGGTCTCCCGCTCAAAGCTCCAACAAACAAAAGAAATCACCCAAGCCCGCGAATACACTCTGAAGTTATTTATCTTATTCACTAGTGTTTCTTACTTGGTGTTTATTTATTCATGTTTCCATTTTTATTCTGACAAAACATGTATATCACAGTTGGTGGTAAAAACATGTTAAAGGAAAAAATATATATTTTGAATTGGCTTAATTCATTTTCTCTCCCAGTAGCAACCTTTTATCTTCCGTTTAACGCAACACACAGCAATGTGCGGGGATATTAGTGCTGAGTGGCTTAAGATAGTTCACGCAACACATCCTGGTTTTTAATAATTAGTCAGTAAACGCAGCATTATCTGAAGCAGGCTGGAAACCTTGCACTTGTATTTACAAGGACTCGTCGCGGTGCCACGTACGTTAGTTTTTGACTTTAGTCAACACGTGAGAACTCGTCTGACACAAAGAGTATCCAGCTGTGTGCTACATGTGTGAAATAACAACTATAGTCTGCACTTTGGGGTGTGTCTGTAAACAGCTTCATTCCGCGTCCCTCCCTCCCCACTGGCACCGTGAGTTACCATGGTTACAGGAAACTGAAATCCTGAAACGTTATAATGATGATCAATAAGAAGTTTTTGGTTAGTTTGACTGTACAAAATCATGAATGTAGCCTGATTATAGCTTGATGCTGACATCTTGTTTTCTAACATATAGAACAAATGTAAAGCCTCAGAGCTTTGATTATTAACAGTATGTTAGTGATGACAAAGGTGATAACTCGCCATCAGACTGACAAGGCTGCAAAAGTTGCCGTTTGTATGATGTATTTTTCTGTTGAACATAAAAGGCTCACTTTAAACACTATTATTAATAATCAATGATGATAATGAGAAGTAGAAAAATAACATACTAAACATTTCTGTATAATGACATATAATGATTATATACTGATTTTTTTAAACTTTATTTACAAACCACATTACAGCGAGTTGCAAAAAAGTTTGTTTTTTTATGAATTGCATCAGTCACTATCTGTATGTCCAGAGTTTCAGTGCTTCTTTTAATAGCTTTTTCATTTATATTTCAGACAATGATGTGGATGGAGAGACAGTAGACTGCGGACTCACAGAAAATATGATTGCATATCTCTTTGACAAGTTTTTCAAAAAGCAGCTAAAATTCAGAGACTTCACACACCGCAACAAGGAGGTCACCGTTACTTTGGAAGTGGTCAACCCAGAACAACAAACATGTGAAGCTTCTGTGTCCCCAGCAAACCAGAGGTGGTAATGTATTAATTAGGCTATTTTTTTCACCATTTCTTTTTCTATTTTTTATCTTTTCATTGAGGTGGTGTTGTCCTAATCTGATAATGCTGTTCTTCTGCTGTATTGCAGGTTTGGAATCTACTTGCCACAGACTGCCTGCAGTCATTTCCATTCCACAATTCCCACAAGATGTCCAGAGCCGCTTAGATGCTAAAGAACCGGTCCACAAGGAACAAAAGTACCGTAACAAAATAATTGGGACTCTGTATGACATGCTGTCACAGTGTACAATGTAAGTATTCTTTTCCAATTATCATACAAAACATACAATGTAATATGTACAGTTTTTATAATTTTTCACCAGATGCACGCATGCATACTTGTCACCCCGGCACACACCCACTCAATAACACGTGCACGGAGTGAAGTCAGTGAACCACGTGCAGTGAATATAACATTTTACTCGAGTTGATGACAACTACACTTGTTACTGTAAATGTAATTAAACCTTTGCAAGTAAATACCAATACTTTATCCCTACACCTGTTCAACAAGCATACATTTAAACAGGTAGAAAGTGATATTAAAATTTTCTCCTGCAGTCTCTTATTCACCGTAATATGGTAATGTAGTTTGTTTTGTCATTGTTTGAGACAGGTATCCAACCAACTCGGACTACGTTCAGGTCGTTAAAGCGTTAATTGGGAAGTACCCTTTCTTAAGGGATGTACACGGGAATGGTTATGTAAGTCCTCTCCTTTGGTCTCTAATTTGAACAGATTTTAGATTTACAGAAGTGTGCATAATTAACTTTCATGATATCTGTTTGGAACAACCAGCATACCTGGCACAGCCAACTCAAGAGAAAATTCAAAACAGAACGGGCTCCACTAATCAACAATGAGGAAGTAAAACGGGTCAAAGAAAAGTTTCGGCAAGCAAGATCACTGAAGACCCCAGAAGAATCTACATCCACATGTCCAAAACGACTGAAGCCATCTCTAGTAAGTCCCCTCAATCTCACAAAAGCTAAGGCAAGATCATATTGTTATATTGTGTACATATGATCTCTAACCAGTGATATCTGTTTTGATAAAGGAATCATGCATTGTGGGGGAGGATGCAACCTCTGTTGAAACTCATATCAAGGTACTGCTTGAGCAATACAGAAAGTTGCATCCCGACATGAATCTGGTGAAAGACCGCATGATGAAAACCGTTGCATGGAGACGCCGAGAAATAGCAGAAGGAATGTCAACTGAAGATCTGTTGAGGAGATATCCATTCCTAAGAACATCCGCTGGGGTAAGAACACTTAAGCTGCTGCCAACTTCAGTCAGTGCTTTAAATTGCTCCCGGTCTATATATTAACACTTTTTTTTTTTTTTTTTTCAGAAATTCTGAAAAAAGGTTCATATAGACTTCTCCTACAGTTGTAATTAATTTCCATTTGTAAGATTTTACTGCATCTGTCCTGGCTGCCACTACACCGTTCCTCCTATGCCTTTCTTTCCCCTATTTTTCTTTTTAAAATCTCAGTTGTGCGATGAGGTTGATGCCATGCACCCCTCTCCAGTCAACATATGCCACCGCATCAGTGAGAACTTCACATCTATTCTCCCAAATATGCTGAAACTTGTCAAGGATTCGCCACTGAAAAAACTATACATGGAAGCAAGAGAGGATGCCTTGGCTGAGGATATTAAAGGTACTGATTTGAGCACATATAACTAGTTAATTTTGCTCCATCATTGTGTCAGTTGTGTGCAGTCCGTTTTTTAAAGAGACTGTGTACAGTTCCACTGAACTGGTACTGCATTGTTAATCTGTGGCACATAGTGGGTGTATAATGCAACATTATCTTGATGATGTTTAATTTGTTTATTTCTCACATGCATTTTAAAAGCTAATACATTTTAGTTTATTGTACTGAACCTGAAGTAACATGCGGTAGCCTGTCTTGGAATTTACAGGTTATTTGTGTCAACCAACATTCCTTGAAATGCATTAAAATTGTAAAATCTTTATGACCTAGGAATTGACTTCAGGGGTGGACTCCTCCTCTTGCCATCCATATTCAAGGAGAAGATTGAGGATTTCATTATGCTTGGACAGGTAAATACCTGGTGTCCTGCATAGCCACTAGCCATAAGTTAATGTTCTTTTAGATCACTGTGCATGCTTAATCATATTGATCTTGTTATGTATGCTAACATTCTTTTCCCTCATGCAGAAAAGTCCTCAAACTCCATATCCAACCGTTCAACTGAAAGCACTTGGGTTGAAATTTGCCCTCTCCAGACAGTGCCAGAGTGTGGTCAATGTCGAGGGAATTGAGGTCTGTTCTTGCACTTCGGTGGATGAGGCCTTCATTGCAGCCTTCTGCATGTACTTTGTCTTCAACATGGCATATCCTGGATACTTGAAAAAGACACTGACCTTTCTCCAGAGGCTCATCGCAAACATCACGGGGGATGGAGACAAATCCCTGCCGGTAACTGTAACTCGAATTGTCAACCTTCTTCGCTGATCATGCCTGGACTGCATCAGTGTACAAAATCCTCAAAGAGGACCTTTACTCTTAGAAAACTGATTCATCACATTGGACTTGTACATGCACACAACCCTCATTTCAACATAACCTGTGGGATAAGTAACTGCCAGAATGCTTTTTCCAAGTATCATTCTTTTAGGCGGCATGTTTTTAGAAAATTCTTGAAAATTAAGTACATTCTGAACGTTGAGACTTTTTGGGTGTTGTGTGGGAAACTGTTACTGCCTTGCTCTTATGACAATCACTTCCATGCTTACCACGTCAAAGTTGACAATGGATTTTACTCAGTCCAGGAAATGTGTTGGACCATCAAGCTCTCGACACATATTTAGTCGATGATAGACTGTATGTTTCCTTGAGGTATTCTGTGTAAGTATGTTCCATCTAAATGTGTGTTACTTTTTGAAGTATTCTGCCTCATGTTAATGTGACTGCAATCTTTACATATTGTAATGTTATGCATTGACATTGATTGATTTTATATGTAGCTATATAGAATTGAATGAATTAAGATTTTTACACTATAAATGCTGCCATGTTTATCTCAAAACATACATTTTCATTGATGTTAATAAATGGTAAAGAAGCAATTATTGTCTGGTACATTTTTGTCTCCTTAAAGTCCAGAATAGCTTGTCACTGGGGGGTACCCTTTTAAAGTACAGGAAAGTACCCTTTCAATGAGGTACATTGCTAAACCTTATAGATTAAAGGTACATTTATGTCTTGCAGGGTACACAACTGTACTTGAACTGGTACAATTTGATAAGGTACATAAATGGACCAGGACTGAAAGGTACACAATTGTCTCTCAAAAGGGTACCTCCCCTGCGACAAGCATTTGTACCGATTTAGGTACAAACTGGTACCTCTATTTTTGAGTGTGAAAAGTGTCCCATGAGAGTTTTAGTGTTGAGGTGAATGAGCTCTGTGTGTTTGTCCTGATGAAGATAATAATGTGTGAGCTCTCCCAGCAGGTTGGTGTGAAGGTGTGAAGGTGTGGACTCTGCTATGAATCAGGCTGAGGACCCAGAGGACGGAGTCCCTCCCTCTGAAGCCCCTCTGTGTGGGGAACATGACAGTCAGACCAAAGCTCAGAGGTGAGAGGACCATCTCCAACTGTCCTCTACTCGTCTCCATGTCCCAACGTCTCTGACTCACTGACTCTGCTTCTACATGTGTGACCAGGATCCATCAGAGACCAGGACCTGGACCTGGACCCAGCTGTGTGTCCATGAAGAGAAACCGGTCTATGAGTCCTCCTCTAAACTTCAAAGATGTTGGTCCCTCTGTTGATGCAAGGTTAGGGTCTCAGGCTGATGATGAGGTATTTCTACCAGACTCTCTGGTGGAGGTTCTGGGTTTCTTGCTCCAGGGCCCTTCAGCAGTGTCCAGTGAGGGAGGGAGAGCTCCATGGAGGACTTGGTGAGACCTGTTGGGACTAAACCAAACTGACTGGTGAAGAAAACAGTGAGCTGAAAGACTGAGCTGTTGATTCTCAGTGGGACCAGCAGGACCAGTAGACCTAAACCACTACAGGGAGTCATGTGGTCCACATCCAGACCTCACGTCATGGACCTTTACCTTGTTTTGGTCTCTGTGAGGACGGACACCATGTGAGCTGATGCTTCATGATTAGATCATGATGTGATGATGTAATCTCAGTGTTTCTTTTAGTTCACATCAGCAGAGAGGAAAGTCTCCTGAACCCAAATGTTTGTCCATGAAGAGTGATCAGTCTTTTGGTCGTCTGCTTAACTTCAACGATGGACGCCGTTCTTATGACACAGAGTAAGTAGGGCCCTATAAAATCTGTTTCTTGTCTTAATTGATGGTCCGGTCGACGGGGGGCCGTCATTTCCAAGCGGGCGCTGCTGCCTGGAGGAACGCTGTGGTCTAAAAGGTCTAACACAGGGGAGCCCACACTTTATCAGCTCGCAAGCTACTTGTCATCAACGCTTCAATCCAAGTCATGGCGATCGCCCGAATAATAACAACGAGCAGCAGCGGTAACCAAGGGAACAACAGCGCTGCAGACCGGGAGACAAAACGAATCCATGTAAAGAAACAAGCAACAATAAGTCACTGCAGACGTTCTTGGTGGTTACCTCACTCCATGACTTGCACTGATGCATGCGTGGTGACCTGACGTGGTTCTTTCTTCAATGTTAGGTGATCTACCAGCACTGCGTTGGTGAAGGACCAGGGGCCTCATTTATAAACGTTGCGTACGCACAAAAGAAGGCGTACGCCGCTCTCTACGCAATAATTGGTATTTATAAAAAGCAAACTTGACGGAAAAATGTCCTTCACGCAAGCTCGGACCCACGCGTACGCACAAAAACGGGTGAAATGAGAACCGTCGACAAATGCAAGAAACACGCAAACGTGTGTGAAAGTGTGTAAAACTAGACTGTTGTAAAAGAAATGCCAATACTGCCTCTCATAAATAACACAAACACCCGTTTGATCTGCAGCGTAAAACAAACAGAAATACAAATTAACACATTTTCAAAAAGAAAAGTGAAATATGTTCTGCAATAATATCGGCATGTTATTAAATTCATCCTCTAAACACAGCTGTTGCTTGTCAGATGCAATCAGACGGACGGTAATAAAACGCCATGATGCCGTCACAATGCGTGATGACGCTGATGGCTGATCTTCGCTCTTAGGAGACGTGGCACATGGAAGGATTGGCGCTGTAGTGCATACACACCTTGGCGATGGCTAAACGCTTTTTTGCATCCACTTTGATGTCAGACCAGTTTTTCTTTATTTGGGTCCGAGGTCGTGAGGCTGCAGCGTCGCTCTGCAACCTTTTGGCACCTTACTTCTCCTTCCCACCTCCCAATGATCATTTCCACTTCACGCTGAGTGAAGTTACGTTTCTTCGTTTTCCTCTCAGTGTCATGATTTCACAATCGATGAATATTAATTTGTGGGCGTTCCACAGACTATATAAGGGCAACTATGGGCGTGACATGAAGCCGCAAAAGCTGCGCTGCATTTAGAAGTGATTGTGATTTATTAAGGGAAAACTGCGTAGGACGTTTTATAAGTCTGAATGTTTCTGTGCGTACGCACGTCCTACGTTTCATCCGTACGACACTTCTGGAGCAAATCCTACGCAAGCTTTTATAAATGAGGCCCCTGGTCCCCCTGGTCTAACACATGCGCTCACTCACAGAGTGCGACCCCCAGTGGACTCATTAGGAATAGCAGCTACTTTTATAGAAAAGCAATTTGTGTCTTTCTGTAATTCTCACAATAGTAAAGTCATCCAGCGGGCTGCACTGGACCCCCCGCAGACCAGATTTGGCCCTCGGGCCTTGAGTTAGACACCCATCATCTAACTGGTCTGTGTGTGTTTAAGTGTGAATCATTAACTGTAAACATCATCAGATGTAAACACAATGTGAGCTAGTTCCTCCACATCAGGATCAGCAGAGGTCACATCTGGAGACAGCTGCAGGTTTCTGTAGACAGATGACTGGGACTGAACATGTGATTAGAATAAACTCAGTGCTCTGTGGACAGGCTAACGTGGTCTCTGGACTCCATGCAGAGGTTTGGACAAAGTATCATCAGTAGACAAGACCTTTTGAAAAGGTCCAAAGACTAGTTTCAGAAGATCTAAGGAGACTTCTAGAGGTCAGGGGACGGACTAAAGAGGTTTGTAGTAGTTCCATAGGACTTTGTACCAGATGCAGAGGTCTGCAGACGTTGTTTTTATGATCCACAGTAAGAACTAAAACCAGATGAAACTGATGACTAACTGTCACTCAACTAATAAACTGTCCGTCATCATCAACAGTCTTCAGCATCTGGTTTTCATCATGATCCATCATGACAGAAGCCAATATCATTAACTAATGTTGTATTGGTGTTGATGGTCCAAACACCATGTGAGCTGATGGTTCATGTTCCTCCACAGAGAGGACCAGGAGAGCTCAGAGGTTCCCACAGGTCCGTCTGCCCAGCAGCATCAAACACACCTGGACTCCATCTTCATGGTGTGTACATGTACAACTACTTTTACATCTCTCAGTTCACCATCATCTCCATACTGCACTCACTGTAGACCAGTGGATTGTCCGTCTGTCCAACATGGACCTGATGGTGGGTTCCATGTTCTAGTTGGTGTCATTCATAGAATGTTCTGTTCCAGCTGCGGGAGGAGCTGGCTGAGCGTCTGCAGAGCGGTAAGAGGATTTCTCTACAGACTTACCATGCTGATAAATGAGACCTTCACTAATGTCTCCAGAGATGGACAGAATATATTCATAGTCATTCTCTGAGGAAAGGACATGTTGAAATCTTTTCTTTGACTCATTAATCTTCTTTGTTGTCTTCATTCAGGACTTCTTGCTGCAGTTTGTCAGCGTGAACTCAAATCCAACCTGAAGAAGAAGTTCCAGTGTGTGTTTGAGGGGATCGCTAAAGCAGGAAACCCAACCCTTCTGAATGAGATCTACACAGAGCTCTACATCACAGAGAGAGGAACTGCAGAGGTCAATGAAGAACATGAGGTCAGACAGATTGAAACAGCATCCAGGAACCCAGCCAGACCAGAAACAACCATCAGACAAGAAGACCTCCTCAAAGCCTCAGCTGGAGGAGAGGAACCAATCAGAACAGTGATGACCAAGGGAGTGGCTGGCATTGGGAAAACAGTATTAACACAGAAGTTCACTCTGGACTGGGCTGAAGACAAAGACCACCAGGACATACAGTTCACATTTCCATTCACCTTCAGAGAGCTGAATGTGCTGAGAGAGAAGAAGTTCAGCTTGGTGGAACTTGTTCATCAATTCTTCAGTGAAACCAGAGCAGCAGGAATCTGCAGGTTTGAAGAGTTCCAGGTTGTGTTCATCTTTGACGGTCTGGATGAGTGTCGACTTCCTCTGGACTTCCACAACAATGAGATCCTGACTGATGTCACAGAGTCGGCCTCAGTGGA